AGTTGTTCAAGACGACAAAAATGACTCAAAAATGATCTAAAATTACTTAAATATGGTCAAAAACACCTCAAAACTTGACCCAAAATATTAAAACATGGCCTAAGTTAACTCTAAAGTTGTTCAAGGTGACAAATAAAGTCCAAAATGACAAAAAAATTTGCCAAAATTTCTCTCATCTGAAATGACTTAATAATTGTCCAAACTACTTAAAAATGATCCAAATTAAATCAAAAATTGAAAAAACAAAACTCTAAAAATTGTCAAAAAATTAGTTTGAATGTTTTCAAAACGAAGCTTAAAATGACTCAAATCAAAAAATTGGCCAAAATTTCTCAAACTGTGTCCAAAAAGAGGACCCAGAGAAATCTGAAATTATTTAATGATTGTCAAAAATAATCCAAAACCTGCCCAAAATCATCTGAAATGAAAACGACCTCCATCCAACCAGTGTTTCAGCTCAGCTTCGGAAAAATAACCTAAAACATGCAAACTGACCAAACAGGAACATCACGAAGCAGGAGGCCTCTGTTTTGAAGCTAGAGCGGGGTTAGCAGGGTTAGCTTTGGCGTGGTATGGAGGGAAAACCAGGGTAACTATATCTCATGTGGCCTGGAAACACCTGGAACGATGAGAAGGGCGTCTGGAACCATCTCCTTCACCTCCTGCCCCAAATATGAGGAGAACAAATGGATGGATTGATGGAGCTTCATGCTGATTGGTTCAACTTGGGTCAGACCAACCCCACTGGACATTAGACGTCTGATGCAGATCATGTCCACGTTGCGTCCGTCGGTCCAAGACCAAGTATTGACGTCTACACGATGTGCAAACTCGGTCCGCTATTGGACATCGAACCACGACCCCACTCGGACGCCAACATACAGTCCAACACTCGAGACGGGGGCAAGAAACTGACACGACTACTTTATGTCTACAACTTAGAAGAAAGCTGATTGGACACCACAGCGTCTTCTCTCTGATGTCTTTAAGCTTCTTTTCCCGACACAGAACCAGAGTTTTAGCTACGAGTTTTTGATGTTTTGCTGCCGTCTGAATTAAACGCAGCTCAAGGATTCGCATCGGTAGAACCTCTAGTCGTCATTCTTCAACTTAGTGATCTGTTCAAAAACACTATCAAACGTGACAATTAGTCGCTTCATACTTGTAGCGTACTGATGTCATCCTGTTTTAACGCGACGCAACGGGAACAGAAACTAAAAAAAACAACGATTATCTCGAGTTGCTTCGTTGGAAAAACCCCTACGTCAAATCAGTGCTCCTTAAAGCATCAAACGTTGACTCCAATCAGATTGAAATGAGGAATTAATCAGACTAGTTTGAACGCTGAGGCAGATTTAAGAGTCAAACTGGATGTGAAGGATGTGTGCTGCTCTACTTACATGTACATGGGCTGTAGCTGCAGGTGGGAGGTCTTCTGAGGCCCCTGGTAGCCGTACGAGTCGAAGCCTCCTATAAAATCGACTGCACGACAAGAAGAAGAAGAAAAACAAACCCAGCATCAATTAGAGAAAGCATATGTCTGCATGATCAGCTCCCACATGATGACTCAGCGCTCCAGGCCTTCCAACACCTACAGAGGTCTCGCTTCCCGCACCGGAGTGCACCAAACGCCGCCGCCGCGACGCCTAAACCCGTCGATGCAGGTTCTATTTTTAGCCACGAGACGTCGTATCTGCGCCTTGAGAACTCGTCTAACGGCTGAATTATCGAGGAGCGGCTGCAGAGGTGGAGGCGAGCGGCAGGTGGTCGAGGCGCCGAGGCCCGGACTTCTGAAGGGAGGAGGCCTGATGGGGTTTTATTTTGCCGCTTTGAAGTCAGAGAGCTCGGGAAGGGAAAAAAAAAAGGGCTTCCTTCCTGGCCTTGATCAGCGGCGAGCATGTTCTCTTATTTATTGGCAGAGATTTCATAACGACGACGTGGAGCTCAGAGATGAAGGAAGCAGCCGAGAACGTTTTAATGGAGCCGGAAACCAACGACACGATGGTTTATTTCTGCTATCCGTGCAAAGACTGTAGAAGCAGCTCATCGACTATTCTGATCAACAGTTTGAGCAGCTTTGAATGTAAAAAGTCTTGAGCTTCTTAAATGTGAATATTTTCTGAACATCTGACAGGAAACCAGATGAAGCATCAGCCAGGTGACCATATCTACCATCAGCTGGTTACCTGCCCGTCTCTCTGCTCTGTTTGTGTTTCTGGTTTCTGTGAATGTTCAAAACGAGCCGTCTGTAAGCGACCACCGAAGCCCGGCGCTGAACCGGCCCGCTGCGCTCGGCGACGGTTGCTAAGCTCCGGCCGCGAGAGCTTTTTAGTCAATTTGTGGCGTGTTTGGTAAAGTAGCGCTGAGTGGTTTCACGTCCGCTAAAACGCTAAATCCAATCTGGATCCATCCTTCAGCAGCAGTTTGAATGACGGAAGTCAGAGACGCTGCAGGTTTTCACAGCCGGACTCGCCTCGGATCAGAACCGAGTCGCCGCCGAGATGCCGCCACGTAGCGACGCTCCATCAGCCAGCAACAGGAGGGAAGAAGAAGAAGGACGCTCATTTATCTGTATTCAGATTGATTAATACGTTCCCTCATCAGAGCTGATGGAGTCGCAGCTTCTATAAAACAGACTCTGACTCTGACTCAGGAAGCTTCTGATTGGTTGAATCCGTCTCAAGTGAGAACATGAACACATCAGGTCTGAGCTTCAACCGTCTGGACTCCAACACGTCNAAAAAAGAAAAAATCTAAAATAACTCAATGGTACAGAATGAATGAATTAAAAATAAATAAAAGAAAAAAAAAAAACAACAACCTCAAACTGTGTCCAAAACAAGATTAAAAAAATCTGAAATGACTCAAAAAATGTCCAAAAATTGTTCAAAATGTTTTCAAAATGACAAAAAGCACAAAACAAAGCCCAAATAAAAAAATAACTCAACATGTGTCCAAAATGACTCAAGAAGATAAAAATAAAATCTCAGACTGTGTCCAGATGAAACCTGAGCTTAATGATGACGGCTGATAAATAAACCTGTGATTCCCGTTGTGATGACTTTATTATTGTTCTGCCTCTGCTGCCCGTGGAGGTCAAACATAAGCTGATTTCGTGGTTGTATTTATTTGGGCCTTAGATTTCCTGCGGGACGCTGCAGCCGATGCCGGTTATTGGTCCCTCCGGCCGGAGCCAATAAACGTCGGGCTGCAGGCCGCCGGCTGGGGAGCCGTGATAGTGCGCTGACGGTGTTTGTGAGCGTCTGAAGCCGCCGTTCGCTCCAGATGTGCGTCTGCAGCCGTTATCTGGGGTCGATGATTTATGACGAGCCTCCACGGGGGACACGTAAAACTCCAGAATGCTCCTTTATTGCCTCCTTCTTTGTTTAGTCCTGAGCTTCATCCATCACCCGGCGCTGCTCTTCTACCTGCCCTCTCTCTCTCTCTCTTCAGTCTATCCTCTGGTCTCTCGCCCGTCTGCCTCTCATTTGCTGTTTTCTAATAAAAACCGTTATCGACGAGCTGTCGGCCGCACATCAGCGGGACCGCCGTTATTCTGAGGAGGTGATTGTAACGGAGCTGCTGCTCTGAGCGGCGAGGCAGCTGGATGGATGCAGGACTGTCGAGGCCTGGACTCGTTATAGTGGCATCCTGTTGGTCCAGAGGGGAGCCCAGGACCCCGATGGAGGTCGAACCTGGGGTTTGGCTCACATTTGATCTCTGACCTCTCGTCGAAATGACTCGAAAAACGTCTAAAACGCCTCAAAACCTGTCCCAAAATATTCAAAAANTTCTTATTTTTGGGGGAATTAAGCTTAAAATCATGACATTTACCAACTTGCTGCTTCTTGTATTTGGTTTAAAAACCCTCAAAATAAATATTTTCTAGCAGAACAGCTGCATATTAAACTCATGAGAAATTATAAACCAGACATGCAGAAGAAAGCGATTTTGTTGAAACAGCACAACTTTAAGCTTAATTTGGTTCATTTTTCCACTGAAATGACGTCTCCCAGTATGATCTGGACCTCCAGAAGGTTCAAAATACACCAGTTTTGTTCAGTTTTTATAGTTTCTGGCTGAGATTTTGGCAAATTTGTTAAACAACACAGCTTTTAAACACACATCCAGCTTTGGACTGATGTTTTACGCAATAAAAAAGTACAAATCAGAGCCAGATACGAAACCTAATGCAAAAAAACACAAAGTTTAGGAACACGAGAGCATTATTAGGATTAATACTAATAATAAAATCACATTTAAATACAAGAATTTACCCAAATATATAAACAAAACAGGTAAATGATCTCCTATGATAGAAATAAAATTCCGGGCTTTTATTTTGAAAGGTGTTAACGTGCCAAACACATGGAGGCTGATGTAGAACAGGCGTCTGTGTTTGTTTGATTAGAATCTGTCCGACACGTTCGAGTGGCTGCGACGAGCTTTAAAACACAAACGCTCACCAGAATAATTACGGGACTAATTAGCCTCCTCAGCAGCTCCAGATCTTCATCGGTCCTCGGTGGCCGCTGCCCTCACAGCGCCTGATTATTGTTTATTCTCCACGTTCAGCACTTTAAAGAGGCTCCAGATCCAGCTGAGGCTCAGAGAATAAACGAGGAGAGGATCCGCTGACGGGGGAATCTGTTATCTGTTATTATTATCTGAAGCAGGAAGTGTTTCAAACGAACCACCACAGTCAAAACGCCGCCGTTTATCAGAGCCAAAAATTCTACGAGTCTGGTTTTAAAAATTCACCAGAAATTAGAGATTTATTCTAACTGGATTCTGTTAAAGAGAAAAAATTCTGAACTCTTCTGTGCAATTAATAAAATACGACTGAGTCAGCTGTGACCTAAAATCACCGGGCAGAAATTAAGAGAGTTTTCAGGTTGAAGATACATCCAGCTGATGGTGGA